TTCATCTTCCAGCACTCTGATAATGCTCTGCTGCTATTCATACGGTTTTCAGGGGCTAACCATTCAGAAGTGGTCTGCCTTGCCTTCTTCCTAGTTTGTCTTTGTTAGTTTGGAATGTTCTGTTAAAGCCTATCCACCATGGGTAACCCTGCTGGTGTTTAAAATACCGATGTCATAGCTTTCAGCAGCATCACTACAATATGCAAGTCCCCATGGTATACCAAGTGGGGAGAACATTAGTACTATCTAACTGAAACTTGCAGAGGGTAGTGAGGGTGGATTCAAAACAGGAGAAAGTAATTTTAAGAGCTGGGATTGACTAGTGCTCACACTTATGACCCTTATCATGAAAAGAGAGCCAACCTTCTTATTGGTTCTATGACTCTTGGTAGAGTGTTAGCACAAATGTCAAAACGGCAACAACATATCTACTAAACACTCAAGCCTGCTGCTCCTACTCAATGCCAGCACCATAAACCATGTGACAGTTCTTTTTGCTCCACAAATGAAAGTTGTAAAGTGTTAACTCTGAGATAATACAGTGATTATTAAAATTCTACAATTCTTCTTCACTTTCTGAATTGGGTAATTTAATTACATAAGCCAAGTATGGCTTTCCTAATTTTGTTTGCAACTTTATTTTAGAACCAGAGCAACGAAGAACAGTATCACCCTAATAGACTCATCCTATCAGGGTGGCAATTTTGAAATTAAGGAAGAGCTATTCCTGTGTGTCAATTATACAATATTCATCATCTCATAGTAGCTTTCAATGTTATATGCCTCAGACATCTGGACACATCACAGTTTAATTAACTAATTCACAAAACTAACAGCTAAAACCACAGGAGTAATTGGCTGGTAAATGTGGAGCAAAGAGCAAAAACATACTGTCTTTCGCCTACAACAAGAACACAAGGAAGAAAAACAAACAAGCCTAATCTGGCCAAACTGTCAGTCATGTTAGAACACAAGGGAATATTCTAGAAACCTCGAAGTGACAGAGAATGTAAGTGACAGGGAATATTCTAGAAACCTCAAAATGACAGAGATGTCATTTTGCAAATTCTGGAAAGTTTTATTAGAAGCACTCATATTAGAAATCCATTGGTGGATCTAAGTTTAGTTCATCTGACTCTTGTGTAATCCGGGAGGAGCTGGATGGTTCTTCTACTCGAAAGGAGCTGTAATTCACACCAATCAATGCTTCAGCTGCACAGCAGGTTTTAGAACGCACTAATTCTTACCAGGCTCCGAACAAATGCTCCATTCTAAGTCTTAAGAAATCAACCCCATGTCCTGCTACTTCTCCTCATAATAGAGTTTCAAAGTCCCTCTGCCCGAGCCATTCTGCCTGCTGCTGCCAGTCACTACGCCACTGGTGACACTGGTCGTGGTATACACCTAATAGGCTGACCTCCTTTCCCGACTAATTGCATTACATCGCCAGCTGGCTCCAGAAAGAGTCATCTGTTTGATTGAAGAATTCCTGCTCCTCAGTGGGCCCGGCTGCTACGTTTACTAAGTAACAGTCAGGCCTGACATCCCCATTGTTCAGCTGACAGTGTGCCCATCCTAAAATCGAAGTTTTATTTGTAAATTAACCAAGAAACTTCCTGCCAGAACAGTGCTGCCTGGAGACTGATAATGTGGGCCTTTCATCCCCTTTCACTCGTACTGTATCACTGCCAATTTGTTTTTTATGCTGCTGGCCAGCCTGAGGCTATAAAAGCCTTGTAAGACATAAGTGCAATTATAGTCCTGGAGTCAAATGAATTGGACAAATCCAACAGCAGAGCTCTGTCCCGACTCTGCAAACCCCTACAGCAGATAGATTAGCTGTGAAAAATCTAATCTAGCTAGAGCTAACAAATTTCTGCAGAGAAGGATCAAGAGTTCAGTGTGAGGTTCCAACCAGATTGCAGAATTGAAAAAGTTCCCCCGTGACAGAGGCAGAAGAGCGCATAAATCACTTTAGAATTTTGCAGCTCATTTTTAAGCTGTTAAGGACAATTTAGTTAGAATAAGACAAGGAACAGAGGGCTACTGTTACTGAAACTGATTTTTAGTCTAACTGTGAGACATCCTGATAAAGAGAGTTTATCACTAATGATATGAAATCTTGGAGCTACAAAAGGTATTAGCTGAATTTTGACTATTACAGGAAGGAATCTTGCATCTAGGCCAAGCCTCAGAACATTATTTGTAGCATTTTTTTTTTTCTCAGCATGATGTTTTGTCAAGAAGAGGATAGTTCATTTCTCAAAAAAGAGACAACCTTATTTTCCTTAGGAAATGACTAAATTAAAAATATTTTTATGTAGATGGATATTTTACCAAAATTGTTATTATTCATAAGAAAATCACACTATATGATGACTTATTTACAGAGTAGTGATAAATAAAAAGGATGTGTAAGCTTCGTCTACGGTCTTGGTAATCTGAAACAGATTTTTTGAAGTGCCAGTGAATTCTTTGAGGGTCAAGGTTCCCTTCCTTATGAGCACAGTCATCAAAACACAGAATCTAGAGCCAGCTCCATCAACCCCTTTGGGAACCAGTCCCTGCCAGCCCTCTGTACTGCAGCACTCCCATCCATAGGAGGACACGATAGCAGGTGGTCTCAGCCCATGAGAAGCGGGGTCATAGGAGCACAGCCTCTTTATCACTACTGGAAGCTTCTGATTGTGTTGTGATGAATTTTGATGTCTTGTGTATGCTGCTGCAGACCACAGTATGTGGTGTAGCAACTGCTGCTGCTGTAGTAGTGAGAGAGCAAGACTACAGAGACAATAAATGAAGTGAGGATAGTGAGGACTAGGGGCCAATATCAACCATCTGCCTAAGAATGGAGGGGAGAATGGATCAGTTAGTCTTACAGGCCACGATGATGACTGAGAGAGATCTTCCTTAGCACTGTGCTACTATACTTAGCAATTATATAGGTGTGGTTTCATTGATTTCAAGCATAAGCTGTGTTTTAATGTCACGTGACAGATAAAGAAAATGAGGAGCAGGCTGGTTCAGTAACTTGACACACGTTTGAACCCAGGCCTGCCTGTCTAAAGGACTTGGCTATAACCACGACACATACCACCTCTCAAAGGTCAGTCTTAGTCAGCATCTAAATGACATGCTTCCTATCCATCCGGATGTTTTCCTCAGTTCCTCAGTCCCTTGTTATAGAAAGAAGGTGGTTGTGGAGTGGGGATCCCAGGCTCTGCTACAGTCAAATACAAATCACAGCTGCTCTGGAACTTATTCTCATCTCAAAATTTATAGAAGTCGATCAAATTTCTAAGCTTCCTTCACAGTCTAAACTTGAGGTAAAAAGGAGCTCTGGTAGCGTAGTGGTTACGAATTGGGCTGCTAACCTCAGGGTCAGCAGTTCGAACCTACCAGCTGTTCTGCGGGAGAAAGATGAGGCTTTCTGCTCCCGTAAAGATTTACAGCCTTGGAAACCCTGTGCAGGGTCGCTATGAATCAGAACCAACTCCACAGCACATAACAACAACAACTTGAGGTAAATGTCCTGCAGATTGGAAGTACAGGGTTGTGTGTTCCCTGGTTTTTTTTTCAGAGATGGAGGTGGTATCCTTTGGATTGTAGAGAGAACTGTTCCTGGGCTCAAGTTCAAGGACAACTCAAGGTAAATGCCAGAGGTAGACCTGTTAGGACCTGCACACTCCCATTTGTCACTGTGATGTTCTTCCTAGGTGTTGTCAAGTTGGTTCTGACTTACAGTAACCCTATGTACAACAGAACAGAACAATGTCCAGGTGTGTGCCGTCCTCACAATACTTTCTATGTTTGAGTCCATCATTGCAAACACTGGGTCTATGTACCTTCATGGAGGGTCTTACTCTTATTTGTTGATACTCTACTGTAATAAGCATTATGTTCTTTTCCAAGGAATGGTTTCTTCTGATGACATGTCCAAAGTATGTTTCCTATTTTGGGCTTCTTCCAACACAGATCGTTCGTTCTTCTGGTAGTCTGTGATCTAGTTAATATTCTTCACTAACACCATAATTCAAAGGCAGCAATTCTTCTTTGGTCTTCCTTATTCATTATCCAACTTTTGCATGCATATGAGACAACTGAAAACACCATGAATTGGTTCAGGTGCACCTTTGTCTTCAAAGTAACAGCTTTGCTTTTTAGCACCATCAAGAGCTCTTTTGCAACAGGTTTGCCCAATTCAATATGTTGATTGCTTTTCTTACTGCTGGTTGTCCATGGGTGTTAATCATAGATTAAGGTAAAATGAAACCCGTAGCAACTTAGTCTTTTTAATTATTTACTATGATATTACTTATTTGCCCGGTTGTGAGGAGTTTTGCTTTCTTTATGTTGAGGTTTAATCCACAGTGAAGGGCTTTGATTTCTTTGATGTTGTTGTTGTTGTTATGTGCCGTGGAGTTAGTTCCGATTCATAGCAACCCTGTATAGGGTTTCCGAGGCTGTAAATCTTTACAGGAGCAGAGAGCCTCATCTTTCTCCTGAGGAACAGCTGGTAGTTTCAAACTGCTTACCGTGAGATTCGCAGCTCAATTAGTAACCACTGTGCTACAAGACCCCCAACAAGATGGATTGGCACAGTGGCAGTACCAATGGGCTTAGGTGTAGCTACGATTGCGAGGTTGGCCCAGGACTGGGCAGTGTTTTGTTCTGTTGTACATAGGGTCACTATGAGTCAGTACCGACTCAATGGAATTTAACAAGAACAACAACAACATAGGGTTTCTGAGGAGTGAGTATGAACTGCCAACCTTGCAGTTTGCAGTCTGGTGCTTAACCTCCAGTGCCACACCAGGACTCCATTTATTTCTGTTGTGTGTGATGTGCCAATTTGAATTATTTCAGATTAACCAAAATTAGAGGGTGAGGAAGAATGACACTGATTTGGAGTCCAGAGGAAATCAGTCTTATTCATGTTACCCCATGAGAAGAGCACCCCCTACACATGAGGGAGCATGGTCCACAAGGAAGCCCCTTACCTTTTTGGTGAGTGAATCATCTGAGTCTGATGGCATCCTTGTGGAAACGTGGAAAATCACTTCCACAGTTGAGGTAGCATAGTAGGGGGCCGTCTGTCCTGTGCTGCCGTTGCGCTGAAGGCCGCCCATGAACCCACAGTGGGTTGAGAGATCCACCTGATGCAGGTTGCGAAGAGGACAAAGAATGAAGATCAGAATGAGATGTTCTTATGGATTAAAATGAATATGGATTAAAAATAACTCAAAATTACTTTTATTTCTATGTTTTTCTTTCTGATTACAAATGAATGTAATAGTAGACAAAATGAAAATAATGAAGAAATAAAGCTTTAAAAATGAAAATGTTCTATAATCCTATTGAGTACAGAAAAACACTATCAAAAGCTTTATGTATCTTTCTCCCATTTTCCCACAACCCACCATACACACAGACATACACAATTTCCCGACTGACGAGTCTGTAGGGTTTTCTGCTCTCTCAAAAGAGTGTTTCTCTAGGACACTGATCAAGAAGTGGAGCTGCTTCACAATTTAACAGCTAGTATGAAACTGTCTTTCAAAAGGGTTGATCCAATGTACATCATCAACAAAGTCCATAGTCATAATTCATTTTAAAGCTACAGCATGAATGAATGTTCACCAACTAGATCCCAATTTTTTTTATTTTTTTATTTTTTTTACTTTCATTAAGGCACCTCTTTTAACACACTTGAAAGAAATAGAAGAAACAATCTGTGCCAAATACCACCAACATATACAGTGAACTAATTTTTCAGTTTTTTCTTAAAGCTTTAGTTAAAAATGTATTACTTAAATAATAAGCATATTCTATAATAAATAAGAAGTTGCCATGTCAGTAAGAACAAAAATAATTTACTGGAAGTGTAACTCTTTTAAATCAAAAGTTACTTTTATCCTGGGGTCTACCTTAGGGAATTAAGTTGCCATCCAAACCATCATGGCAACTATATTGTATTTTCACTCCAATACTTGATTTCATCCAACTCTTTCTTCACCTTCCCACCCATCAAGTCATTGATTTCTTATCCAATCTCCACAATGTGGTCAAACGCATTGTTTCTCTTCCCATGTCTTCTCTTACTATAAACTGTCTGTCTGGGTGAGCTCATCTGACAAAAAGCAAATGAAATACTACAAAATGAAACTAAGAGAAACAAAACTTCAAATGAAAAGAGCTAAAAAGCCACTTAATAGAAGACATGAGATTCAACACATACTTCAATTCCAGAATTCTACCCAAGATGTTTGAATGTAAAAACATATGTAAAAGTAAGGAGAACAAACAAGATGATGGACTGGGTGGAAGAGCAGTAAAGAGTTCCATCAAAAACAACACAGAATACCCAACCAAGCAGGCTCAGGGGATGGTCCCAGAACTCTGAACCACATATAAAGGAATATTTAGAAGGTTGGAAGGCTTACAGCTGA